ACTTCCGCGACACGAGCGACAGTGACCATTGGCGACAGAATGTGGGTGTGTCAAGCGATGCGAGTCAAGCAACAAAAGTTAAGAATTGTTTAACTTTATGCAAATGAACAGCGAATTTCGCGAGCGACAACCAATAGGAGTGAAGAATCTGTCAGTGGCGCTCACACGTCACCGTCTCGAGTGCAGGCAAGATTTCCTGAGCGATTTCACTGTTTTATATGAACCACATACATGGATATAAAAAAATGATGCGTAGAAATGGCAAATTTCAAATAAAAATCCCTTAATTCGCAAAAAAGTTTTTACGGTTTTTGACTTGTGCAAAAAGGGTTAATGCGAATAAAAGGTGATGGAAACGCATTTGCCGAGTAAATTCCTCCGTGCGCATCAAAAAAGTCATGTGACTGCGCTATGGGACGGTCTTTCAGCATCTGAAATGTTATGGTCATTTTGAAATGTCCAAACAAAGTCTATCATCAACGTATTTCTGTATAATTGCCTCCCAGAACTGTTACACGACTACGTTCCCAAACAGCAGCATAAACCTCAGAAAACAATGACCGCATTTATTTTGTTTCGTAATTTCGTAATTTATAATTAAGTAATTTAGTAAGTAATTTATTTTATAGGCCTATGAAAATTATTATATTCAAGGGTTTCTCCTACTTTTCATAGTGATATATAGCCTAGCCCCAGTTCTACCAGGAAGACGATTTTGTTCTCATTGACTCGTTGGATGGAAACGGTGTTTATTCGCAAATGTTTTATGTGATATTTCAATTTTGCGCATAAGTTAAATTTGCAACTTTGGATGGAAACCCAGCTAATTAGAAAGCTAAATAGCTTAGCCTAATAGCTTAGCATAGCAGTAATTGGTTAAGAAAAACTGATTTACCAATTACTGATTTGTTAGAACAAGATATCACAACAATGCTACTTTTTTAACAGGTTGAGGATACAATTTTATGGGGGATTGGAACTTGCACAACACCATCACAAACTCCTCTTGTGTTTGATTTCAAGGGATTGTGTTCAGTTTTAGCCACAAAAGCATGAGAAAATGGGCACTTTTTAAAAATCCATTGCAGTTTAAATGAGAATAAGAAAATAATATTCTCATTATTACGTCATTTTTGACGCCACTGAAGATGGCGCCATTGTGGGTGTTGGCTTGCCGTCGCTCCTGTCCTCTGCTGTCTTTCCTGTACGTTTTGGTGCTATCTATGTGTGTGTGTGCTCAAGGAATCAGTACCTTAATTTCCTATGATCGCCAAACCCTTCTTGATATACAATCCACTGTCATGGATATGTGTGCTCGAAATCCGAATGGGGAGAAATTCTCCTACACCCGGTTTTTCTCAGCGTTCCCGAAGGCCGCTTGCCACGTCGGCTGTTCATTTCATCGGAAAAGACGCCATAGAAAGCGTGGGAAACGGGCTGGCATTTTGGTCAGGATTAAAAGATCCTTGCACACATCCACGTCTTGCTGTTGCGATCTGCTTGGAGTCAATGGATGGGATAAAAACCTCTCTCTTCAGAGCACTACGATCCCCCGTTACACCTGTCAACTGCCCATCCTACCAGATGTGGCTACATCTGTTTGCGCTACAGCGCGGCCGCGGATCATCAAAAGAGGCGCTAATCTACGAAATCTCCGGTCACTGGATTATGCGAAACCATCGATCATATCCCCTGAAGAAATTACTCATGTTACTAAACTGGCTATGGTAAACTCGAGATCTCTTCATAATAAAACTTTCATTTTTGAGTCATTTCTTTTTATTCTCTTAATCTCTATATTTACTTTATTGGTATATGTACAGCACTTTGGCATACACTAGCTGTTTTTAAATGTGCTATATAAATAAACTGACCTTGACCTTTACTATGATTTGGGAAATTGGGACACTATTTAGGCTCATAGCCTGCTTAGACACAACTTTTGGTTTATCTGTGTCACTGAGAAATACACAACAATTCCCATTGGCTGGATGAGAGAGAGTTTAAATAAGGAAGAGGCAAATGCAACGATTTTTGGAGTTAAAAATAACCATGAAATTGACAGCACCATGAAAAATAACCATGAAATTGACAGCGAGAAGAAATATAACATTCGATGAAGACTTAAAGTGGAATGAAGGGATAGAGGAAATGAAGGGGTGTCACGTCATGACTCTGCTTCTCAGCTACTCTAAACACTGGATGGGGGATTAAGCACTCTGGGGCGGCACGTGTATGATTTTTAAAGCTGTCAACATGCTGTAAAGTTCCTGTTTATACTTTGGGTATGGATTGATGGCTCATTTGTGGTTGGGACGCCTGTTCGTGCTTAACATCCATTTTTCTTCTGCAGGTTTCCACAGCAATTTGATGAACTATGTTTATTTTGATCATAATTAGGAAAGGTCATAATTAATTAGGAAAGGCTAAAGCTAGTGTTTACTCTAAACCTTTACTTCCTTCATTATTTTTATATTTGATTATATTATATAATATTGGCCTTGTATTGTTTGAGTTAACATTTTGAATCACTCAAACCACTTAAAGATGTCGGCATGTTTAAGAGGAATGGGTGAATTACAGGTTATTTATTTGACCTGAGTAACCTCTCGTAGCACATATTCATCCTTTTTATGGGACAATACAAAAAATTTTTTCTTTCTTTTTTAATTTACGGTGTAAAAGATCCAAGTAATATTACTAAAGTACATTCTGAAAAGGATTATACATATAATAAGACATATGCCCTTTTGAATACCTCCACTGCCTCTCTTTGTTGTATTCCTTCTTTTCTTGTCTTTTCTTGTTCTTTTCCCCACTTTCCTTCACTTCCCGGCTCCTGTTAAGTAAATAAACGCTTGAATTGATGGCAGCAGAGTGGTGATCGCTGTGCTTCTCGCGTGTTTGGAAAGGATCAGCTTGTCTGGGCTCCGGCCGTCACACAGCTGGGGCCTGTTCAACTGACACGAACCCTACAGCTGCCTGCCAAACAAGGCTGTAATCATGTCTAGAACATTGGGGGGACCAATCGTTTTGAGGAAAATATAAAGATGGTAATTGTATTTATTTAAAGAAACTAAATAAATAAAGGATTTAAATAAAAGAAGAAAAAAGATCCGTAAAAGAACAAGAATAAGAATTTTTGTGAAGTAATCAATCTGAACTGCAAATAATATTTTTTATTTTAAAATATGCACCCATTCCATTTCAGTTGTATTGTTGAAAATGCAAAACAGAAAAATGCTATTGTTATCATAATCAATTATGAATTACATGAATCACATAAATGACAGACCTACTTGTCATTCAAAACGGCGGAATTTGACAAAAAAGTCGAATAGTTTGCATCACTGGATATTGTTGGTCGTTTACGTCATAGAAGGGGAACGCTACGTTTCTTACAGTCAAACCGACTGTTGCTATAGTAACGAACGCAACTGGTGTTATTTTATAATTGTTGGGGCATCTCCAGCTATAGGCTATCTTAAACTTCTCAAAATACAGCCCGCTTCAGATTTAATCACTGCACAAAAAATTAAATCTTTACCTAATTCTGACTGGGTGGGCAAGACAATCATTTGGGTGGGCTCAACCCACCCCTGCCCATGCCTGGAGCCGGCCCCTGTTATCACTGTCTTTAGGGCATGCTTGGTAATAAGACTTTCTATTTTTTTAACCTTCCTGTTGAATAAAATTCAAACACATTCATGCACACCATCCAAATACATATTTGTCAAAACTGCATTTTTAAAAGAAGCTGTTTCTATTAGAAATCTTTAGAAATTTTAGCCAAGTACTTACTTGTTAAAAAAAGTGTCAAATGCTCTAGCTGTTTTTGTCTTTATATTAGTATTTTTAAATAAAGGATTTGCCACTTTTCTTTGTCGCCATCTTTTAGCTAGAGACTAACTAAAGGTTATTTTCTCGTTTTGTATAAAAACTGTGATCTGTAAGTTCATCGCTCACACTGTCATAGGCAGGCACCTCAGAATGTAGCGTCTTGTGTGGCTGAGTGTAAATTACATTCTAGAGAGGCCTTTTAGGTCTGTTTAACGTAGTTACAATAGGCCCCATGCCCTTGACTGGAATGCAGGGTCGCCCCTACTAAACCCCACTGGAATCTGCCACCCAGTGTTGTGGGCAATGTGTGCCTGAGCTGAAAGATGGGCTCATCTCTGCTGCCGTTCCCACAACTTCTCTCCTCCTGCTGGAGATTGCACAACAAATCTGGTACTCACAGGTTTTTAACCACTTATAGGATGTATATACGAGATTTAGGCAATATGGGCAGCTTTTTCTTAGTGTTGGAGTTGAAAAGGGTTTCCAAAAACAACACAATAGAGTGCAGGATCTCTTGCACAAACACTGTAGTGAAGAGAGCGGGAATCACGCCAGGACTACACTTGGCTTCTTGCCGTCAGAGTCCAAGAAAAGTCGTTGTGCAGGGTTCTTGCATTCTTCAAATAAGTAGACCGTAAATCTTTGTTTCTGTGTGTTGGCAGGCCTGTGTATGTTTCGGCAGTAAGGCCGCAGTCGAAACATATTGTAGTGATCATAGACCATGGTGCCTCTGTCACTGAGACCCAACTCCAGATCGCCCGTGACGCTGCGCTAATCATCCTCAACTCCATCGATGAGCATGATAAAGTAAGGAAGTGACGTCATCATCGTCATACACCCTCCACTGATTACATTTGTTCTTTTGGCACTCAATGTCCTTTTTTCCCCCCCTCAGATCTCAGTGTTGACAATAGCAGATACTGTTCGTTCCTGTTCTCTGGATCAGTGCTACAAGAGCTTCCTCTCACCTGCTACCAGCGAGACTAAGAGGAAGATGAGCACCTTCATCAACAACATTAAAGCGTCTGACAGCTCTACCCAGCATGCACTGGGCTTCCAGAAAGCCTTTCAGTTGTTAAGGAACACAAGCAACGTCACCAGACAGCCGACTAGTAAGAATCAAAGCTTATTTACATTAGATTTACGAACACCATGTCATTTCCTACCTTTATGTATTTTCTGTTTAGTGTTAACAAAAGTGTTCTTTAATGTTTAATTATAAAAAATATATATATATATTTTGAACACACTTTAACTGAACGGTTGTGACCAGTAACTATAGGGTTTTCAGTTAACGGTTCAATTACACGAATGATTTTTTTTTTCTCTAAAAGAGATTTTATATTTTGTATTTAAAAAATCCTTAATACTTCACTTAAGGCCTTTCTGTAAAATCATCCTCAACTCCATCGATGAGCATGATAAAGTAAGGAAGTGACGTCATCATCGTCATACACCCTCCACTGATTGCATTTGTTCTTTTGGCACTCAATGTCCTTTTTTCCCCCCTCAGATCTCAGTGTTGACAATAGCAGATACTGTTCGTTCCTGTTCTCTGGATCAGTGCTACAAGAGCTTCCTCTCACCTGCTACCAGCGAGACTAAGAGGAAGATGAGCACCTTCATCAACAACATTAAAGCGTCTGACAGCTCTACCCAGCATGCACTGGGCTTCCAGAAAGCCTTTCAGTTGTTAAGGAACACAAGCAACGTCACCAGACAGCCGACTAGTAAGAATCAAAGCTTATTTACATTAGATTTACTAACACCATGTAATTTCCTACCTTTATGTATTTTCTGTTTAGTGTTAACAAAAGTGTTCTTTAATGTTTAATTATAAAAAAATATATATATATATATTTTGAACACACTTTAACTGAACGGTTGTGACCAGTAACTATAGGGTTTTCAGTTAACGGTTCAATTACACGAATGATTTTTTTTTTCTCTAAAAGAGATTTTATATTTTGTATTTAAAAAATCCTTAATACTTCACTTAAGGCCTTTCTGTAAAGTGCATTATAAAAGTATTTTTAATGCAGTAATTATGCCTTTTAATGCACCTTATAAAGCATTGTATGGTCTCATGAATAATTGTAACCATAGTTATAATACATTATAATACTTATCAATTAATTGAACACGCTTTTAGAAAGTATAATGCATTAAAACACGACAAACAAACAAATTTAGAATCTGCAAATATTATAATGCATTTTAACTTTGGTTACAGTTGTTTATGAAAAGATATAATGCATTATAACATGCATTATGAATAACTTTATAATGTACTGTACATAAGGGCTTTAATTAAAGCGTTACCAAAAATTCTCTATGATCATATTTTTTAATGCACAAAATAGCATGCAGTCAGACAAGAGTCAACTATAATGAAGTTAGATTTTAAGAGAAAGGCTGAATTATTACCACACAGAAGTTGTCAAATTTTTATTGGGGCAAAATGACAAATTTTTAAATAGTAAAAAATAAAATATATACATTTTCTAATTGATTTATATATTACAATATTTATTGGTCAAAGAAATACGAGTCATTTCAGTCATTTTTCATTAAGTCAAGTAATTTATAATTGTATTGTTTTCTTTCGGAATACAGTTTTTTTAATTTGGTAATTAATTATTAGTCTGGGAGGAACAAGGGCTCTCTGTCATGTCTGATTACGCAGCGCGTGCCATTTCCACTTCGTAAAGGTGCGGGGGGCCAGGGACAGCCCGAAGGGAAGGAGCAGACTTAAAGATAATGTGCCCATGAAGAATTGGTCCCTGAGAAATAGTTACTAGAGTATTATACACCTTATTTTGGTGTGTATGTTCTCAAGTTTCCCCGAGGTCGGTTATTATATTCAGTATGATTGATTATTGATCATCTTCCCTCTCACAGACACCGACATGGTGATAATCTACCTGTCATCAGGCGTCACCTCCCGAGACTCATCCGAGCACGAAAAGAGAGCAACCCTCAGCGTGGTCAAAGAGGAGAACCGCCACCTCAACAACTCTGTCATGATCCTCACCTATGCTCTCATGAACGGTGAGATACAGACAAGGAGTGCAGCTTTTTTATGAACTCTTTGTCTTGCAGGCCACAAGGGCTCACGGTGAACACCTGTGTGCATGTTTGTGCTTTTTCAAAACATGCTCAGCTGTTTTGATGCCCCTTCATCTTTCTTCTGGTCTTTGTGTGTGCGCGTTTACGTGTAAGAAACCACTCTCCATTATATTGCTCTCCTCAGCTGTTCCTCTCCCCGCATGTATTAGCCTTCCATTAGCATACTTTAGTTTGGCATCATGAAAATTAAAATGCAGATCATCGAAAAGAAGAAAGAGAAATGCGACAATACATCAAAGGCCACTCAGTGACATGAAAGAGTGAGAAAGGCCTTTTTTATGCATTAGATGACTCAGAGATATGATTCAGATCGATTAGCTTGGCAATGCAGGTTACGCTACTTTGACTAGGTATTGTGAGGCTCTGAAGGACACACACACATTACTCATATTTCCTTGTTTATTTGAAGTCTGGTTCATTTATGACAAGTCGTATTATATTCACATATTAAAACCTGTCACAGTGTCAGATTAATAGACTGGAGTGTTGAAATTTATGTCCAGTCCAATAACAATTCAACAGAATTGAATGTTCCTCCAAAAGTGAAAGACTGACTAACAAAAACCTCCTATTCTTTCTGTTAAAGGTCCAAAACCACCATTTCATGATGGAAATAGATTAAGTGTGATTTTTAGCTCTGCGGTTAAGTAATCCGTGTGGGATATGAATGGCTTTCTTTTACTGTGCTGCACTCTAAATAGGCCAGATAGACAAAACCTTTACAAAACGCTTGCAATATCTGTGAAAATTTAGATAAATTGGTTGATACTAGCTTTGTTCCAAAACCCAGTGGTGCACAAGAGACACATAGCACATTGATACTGAGTATAAAATGTCAATTTTAATTCGTTTTTCTATACCATCGTCCTCAGAAGGAGTAACGGGACTCAAGGAGCTGGCCTTCTTGCGAGACCTGGCCGAGCAGAACTCTGTTAAGTATGGCGTTCCAGATCGTTCCGTCCTGCCTGTCGTGAAGGGCAGTATGATGGTTTTAAACCAGCTCAGTAACCTGGAGACCACCGTGGGACGCTTCTACATCAACCTCCTCAATCGAATGATCGACGTGGCCTCCTTCAGCTTGCCTTATGCAGACCAGATGGGAGACGGTAAGTTAAGATCTTGAACTTGGCATCAAGTTCAAGTCTGGCACATTAACATTCCCTCTGACAAACCATATGCACTCAGAAGACCTCAGAAGAAGTGGCTCCGCACCAGAAAGTTTCCATGGTGCTATATACTGTAAACTTAAACTATAAGTAAAGCCAAAAATCACAAATGCAGAGTCTGCTCTTATGGGGCTGCTAGACAGGAAGTCATTCTGATGAAATTATAGCTTGATTGGAAATGATGCATAATACAAATCTGCTCACAAATGATATTTACCTTGATTTTTTTTATTGCTTCATAAAAATATCTCATTTTATTTTCTACGTTTTGATTAAACTTTATTAGGCTATAATGGAAATTATGGCTGAAAGAGATTAAGGAACTGTCATAATTTGATTTAAACCGTACAAATATTTTTTTTATTTGTTTATTTTTTGCAAAAAAAAAGAGAAAATCTATAATATAAATGATGTTTTCAAGGAAAATCTATTTATATCTTTTTTCTTTTTTTATTAAAAAAATCAACCTCTTTGTCAAAGAAAGTGCCCGAAGTTAACACCCAAGAAACATCTACTTTGTTCATTGTTGTTTTTTAGTATCACTTGTCCTTTTGCCAATGGCTTGTACCTCACAGTTAATAATATTTCTTCATGAATTACCGCTTACATAAATTGACTTATTAATATGGGGACAGATTGAAAGGAAGTTCTTTTCTGTTTGTAGGTTTCATCATGACCGTCAGCCGGCCATGCTACTTTGGGAACTTGTTGCTGGGTGTAGTTGGAGTGGACGTGAATCTGGCATACATACTGGAGGACGTCACCTACTACCAGGACTCCCTGGCCTCATATACATTCCTCATAGACAATAAAGGTAGGAAGATGCGTGCGCTGATGATTGTTTTTGGCTGAGATCCACCTGGTTCCATTAGCCAAAATGAGCCAAGCTTGTTTTACATGTTTACCTGTTTGCCTCACTTCAACTTGACTTTCTAACTTCACCATGAATTTGGAGGTCTGATCTTCACTGACACAAAAGACTGAACTGAAGACCATTAACCTTTAACAGTTCATTAGGGGAATCAGCTCTCCTACATTGGGCGGCTCAGAGTCAGAGCCACGGCTGACATCATGCCAGTTTCTTGAAGTGGGACCAGCAAAACTCTGTGGATTTGAACTTCTTAGGGAGAAAAGAATTAAAATGTTTTGTTTTCCCCCTTGAAAAGGAGCAGTAGTCTGCTTATGCAAACACTGTCCACCAAAGAATGAAATTAAGCGCTGTTGGCCTTATTTTGACAAGCTTTCATTTACGCTTTCTTCATCCTGCTCTGAATAACATCTGTTTTTCCATGACTTCCCCCAGCAGGGTGAAGTGTCTCTGAATTTACAACGCTGTTAACCTCCACTTAATACATATTAAAACAATTCGATAAGCCCTCCAGAAATTGCCACTTTGCACTAAAAGGTTGTGTTGTATTACATATGTAAAAAAATGAGGGTGATTATCTGTTCCTGAGAGTATACAGTCTATCCTAATGACTGGGATAATGAAGTGGCACCTGCTGTCTCCAGCTGTTCGGTAAAGAGACGAGATAGCACTGCCTCTCAGTTCTTTTCAAAAGGAAGTCTCTCCCTGTGTTGTGCAGGCCACAGTTTTTGTGTGTAACCTAGTAGTTGAAAAGCTTTTACAATATACAGTATGTTAAAAACTATATTGGACCAGGAAACATTGTCTATGTTATGCATCGAAAAGTTATGCATTTCATATACAAATAGGCCCATTTACATATAGGCCCAATAGCCAAAAAAGTTTCTAATTCAATGTAATTATTTATTAGTAATTTAGTAATTCTGCTGGTCAGAAAAAGGGTGGAAAATGGTCATAAAGTATTTTTTTCACAGTTTTTTTTAATGAATGTTTATTCGTTTTTTCATATTTTATATTAAATTGAATTTAAAATAATGTTTGCATATCTTTCAGGCTACACCCTCATGCATCCGTCACTCACCCGACCTTACCTGATGACTGAAGCTCCCCTCCATACAGACATCATCCACTATGAGAACATCCCAGGGTTTGCTGCTGTGCGTCAAAATATCCTCAGGTGAGGGTGTATGGGATTCCAAAAAGACCTGGGTATCTGCAGTTGCTCGAGTTTACTTTGTTACTGACGTGCTTACTAAGCTCATGTTATGTGTTTCATGTTAGTCTGCCTCTGGGGAGTCAAGTCATTGCTGTGCCTGTCAACTCCACTCTGTCTTGGCACATGAACCGCCTACGTGATCCCAGTCGAGATGCCTACAATGTCAGCTACGCTTGGAAACTGGTAAGCTATTCCTCTGCAGTGGAACAAGCATTGGCTGAGGAAAAACCAGACTGAGTTTGTATGTTGTTTTATTTAATCATTTTGTATTTTTACTGATCTTGATCCCTGATTTGCAGGTTCAGGACACTTCGTTTATATTGTGTATAGTTTATGTTCAGCCGGAGATCCCGGTAAAGCAACTGAAAAATCTGAACACGGCCCCTAGCAGCAAACTCCTGTACCACCGCCTGGATCTGCTGGGGCAGCCCAGCTCCTGCCTCCACTTTAAACAGCTCGCTACAGTCGGTAAGCTCAGGCGAAACATTAATATAATCTTTACATCTTGTAAAAAAAACCCTTTAAATCGCTACAGTCGGTAAGCTCAGACAAAACATTAATATAATCTTGGGAAAAAAAAATAGTAAATGCTATTCTCAAAGTTGTTAGGACTTACCATGCAGAGCTCGTTTCTCTGAAAACGGAGCGAGACATTTATTTTAAGATATTTCTTTTTTTATAAATCAATATCAAATCCAGGTGGAACAATTACAAAAGTTTCTTTGCTTTTGCTCAACAAGTGAATTGTTACCAACAAAAACCAAATAAATGTTAGCGGAGGACTGCATGTCAGAAGTTGTTTTGTTGTTAAAGTTATTAATTTCATATTATTCTTAAAGGGAAATAAATGTGTTAATGCGTTAACTATGGAAAAAGTAGACTATGTATATATATATATATATATATATATTACAGATATATTGTATATTACTAATGTTTTTTTTTTTTTTTGTTTTTTTAAAAGTGTTATGCTAACCAAGGCTGTGATTATTTAATCAAAAATACAGTAAAACAGTAATATTGTTGAATATTATTACAATTTAAAGTAACTATTTTCTGTATTTAATATATTTAATGTAATTTATTCCTTTGGCAAAGCTGGATTTTCAGCAGAATTTCCATTACTCAAGTCTTCAGTGTCACATGATCATTCTAATATGCTGATTTGGTAACTTTTCTTATCTATTATAAAGGTTGAAAAGGATTGAGTTGCTTAATATTGAGAACATGTGTGTGTTTTTATGCTTCTTTGATAAATAGAAATTTCAAGAACAAGTCTTTACTGTCACTTTGGATAAGTTTAATGTGTCCTTGCTGAATAAACATTTTCATTTCTTTCCTAAATTAAATTAATAACCCCACACTTTTGAACAGTGTACTTTTTTTGGTAAGTGAATATTACAGTTACTAAGGCATGATTGATAATGGTTTCGGGGCTAATATAATTAAGCAGCACAACTGATTCATCTCTCACTTTTTTCAGAGAGTCCCACAGTGATGTTGTCTGCTGGTAGTTTCTCCTCTCCATATGAGCACTTGAGTCAGCCAGAGACCAAGCGCATGGTGGAGCACTACACAGCTTACCTGAGTGACAACACCCGGCTCATAGCTAACCCAGGCCTGAAGGTACACACAAACACACACTTACTGGCCATCTCAGCAACACATGTCTCATAGCCAACCCAGGCCTGAAGGTACACACAAACACACACTTAATGGCCATCTCAGCAACAGAGAGTCCCACAGTGATGTTGTCTGCTGGTAGTTTCTCCTCTCCATATGAGCACTTGAGTCAGCCAGAGACCAAGCGCATGGTGGAGCACTACACAGCTTACCTGAGTGACAACACCCGGCTCATAGCCAACCCAGGCCTGAAGGTACACACAAACACACACTTAATGGCAATCTCAGCAACACATGTCTCATAGCCAACCCAGGCCTGAAGGTATACACAAACACACACTTAATGGCCATCTCAGCAACACATGTCTCATAGCCAACCTAGGAATGACACAATCTTTCACAGTTAGTGGTCACATGGTTAATTTCTCAGTTCTAACTGGCAGTTCTTAGTTGGCAGCCTTCCTCTCCTCTTTAATTCTTCTTTTTCATTAGGGAAATGCAGCGCACCAGTCTTTATGATGCTCTGCTTAGTAGAATTCTTTAACACCCCCCTCCTTTGGTCTTCCAGTCTTCTGTGAGAAATGAGGTGATGGCCACCAGTCACGTGACAGATGAATGGATGAGTCTTATGGAGATGAGCAGCCTCAACTGCTACATTGTGAGGCGTTACATAGCAACGCCCAATGGGGTGCTGCGGATTTACCCCGGTTCTCTCATGGACAAAGCCTTCGATCCCACCAGGAGGCAATGGTAAGATTTGAGCCTCAGGACGGAGGTCTTCAAACTCCTAGTGGGATGCTGGTCAACAGATCCCACAGTCTGTTGACTAATCTTAGCGAACTGACAGATTCCCAAGAAGGTATTTTGTGTTCATATGCAGCTGTACACACTATAAAAAGGGTGTTTTTTTAATACAATAATTGTATAGGAAAAAAATTAATGAATAAGCAAAACAAACTTTGATCAATTTATACATTTCAGTTTAAAATGTGGTCTAATTAGTGATCCTTTTGTCTTTTAGGTACCTACATGCTGTAGCCAATCCTGGTCTTATCACTTTTACTGGACCCTACCTGGATGTTGGTGGGGCGGGCTATGTGGTCACTATTAGCCACACCATCCACGCCTCTAGGTCAGTTGTTTAAGGGTCACATTTCATGTTTAAACCTGTTGGATCTCAACCAGGGGCCACAGGATAAGTAATTTAAGTAATAAATTACTCATATATTTTTTAAAAATTCTAACGATTAATTAAAATGTTTTAAGAAAAAATCTAGATGTCTTTCCCCTCTGAATAACTTTTGTTTTTATTGAAAAACATTTTATTGAAAAATTATTTTTATATATATCTGTGTACTCCCTGTTTCTGTTCTGTTTTAAAACAAGCCTATTTTGTCATAATAATGGTAGAAATACTGAAAAATATCTTGGTCTGTATGAGGGGAGGGGGCCCTTTGAATATTGCGTTGGGAGTCATGGGGGTCTATAAGTCAAAAAGTTTGAGAAGCGCTGGTTTAGACACATCATTTGCTATGCGTTATGGCTTTTATAATGTGGATATTCATTTATTTTTGCTTATTCAGACACTAGCTGTTTTTTTATGCTTGTATGGATCAGACTTTAAAGGGGTCATATGATGCGATTTCAATTTTTCCTTTCTCTTTGGAGTGTTACAAGCATTTTCATACATTTGCTGTCTTAGTTGAAAAAAGCATAGTATATGTAGTATGTAATAGTACTTGTTGCAAATGAAAAACAACTGCCTTATCACTGTCGGGTTGGTGCTTGGCACAGTGCGTGTGTGTGTTTGTATGGTCGTGTGTGTAGAGATATGATGAAGCTGTTTGAAACTGGCAGCGTTCCAGAATGTCTAGTGTAGATAAAGAGTGTTTTCCCTTCACGTTTTCCAATCAGTTCTCTCTTAAGAGGAGGAAATGTGACTATGTAGTGTGTGATCTGATCTAAAGCTCTATTGCGGTGACCCATCATACTGTAGATCTCCTCATTCTTCATATTGATCAACACACTTATCTGTCTCCTTTCCCAGTTCCCAAAAGGCCTCCGGTTACACAGTAGCGGTTATGGGCATTGACTTCACTCTGCGCTACTTCTACAAAGTTCTGTTGGATCTTCTGCCCATCTGCAACCAGGACAAGGGCAACAAAATCCGGTAAGGCCTTCCCACCGCACCCAACCCCCATCTCATTTCTTCTCAAACTCTCTAGTGTCTGCCAAGACCCCAGTGTGCTGGCTGTGGTGTCCAGCGTAGTGCCTGAAGCTATCGATGCCCCACAGAGGCTCTTTAAAGCTCTTTCAAATGAAACTAATCAGATTTGCTTCTGTTGGAAAAGAGGCATTCACTTAGTCTTCTCTGCATACTTCTAAGCTCCCTCTTTTAGGATAGGAAGAGATGGAATGAGAACGATCTGAGGTGGGGATCAAGAAACTGTGAGGGAGGGCTAGATGTTGAGAGAGAGGAGAGATGAGAAGGGAAAAGTATAAAGACTGGAACAATGATATTTATTTTTCAAAAAAAAAAATTAGGTGGTGCTTGCCTCTGCAAAAGTTGCTGCAATGATACTAGGGTATTGTGGCAGTTGTCAAGTTTTTATTATCGCTAGGGCGGTTGCTTATGATATTCAGAGAACCGGCTTAGCTGAAGTTACAAGCCTAGTTGTTGAGTAAATGTGCACAAAGTTACAATTTTATACACTACTAAAATATTAGAGCATAACACCTTTAAACTGTGTAAACATGTATTTATGGAAACCTCTGACCAGGAAGAACGGTTGAAAAATTACAGAAAGATTACATCATGACATCATGATGAACAACTTATGATGATACTAAATCATAATCAACTCCATTACCTTTTAAGTACAGTTCATGCCAGGGTTCAGAAAAAATATAAATCAAAATAAATTTTTAGTATTTATTTCCCTTTCTAATTTTAGATGCAGTTCCTGAATATTTAATCTTTTGCATATTTAAATATATTATTTAGACCAGTGGCTCTGAAACGGGGGCCTCAGCAAAGTTCAAGATTACTTAAAATGTTTTAAAATAAGGCAAAACAAACTTTAAAATAAGCTAAAACAACTAAAAATCCAGATATTTAATTCACCCCAACTTTTTAAATTCAATAATGTAATTATTTGATTTGATTTATTTTTCATTCATTCATTTATTTATATCAAAAAAATTTTTTGGAAATGTATTTATTTGGAAATTTAATTTGGGTAGTCAACCATATATATGTAATTTTTCAGAAAAGTAATCGCACGCCTCGTCTGAAAAAGCAGTGCAATTTGCTTTATCATTCATGTCTGTAGCTCAATATTTTTCAGGACTGACTGAAAGACACAAAGGGAGATAAGCTGATTAGGGCTGCATTCCAGACACATCCTGTTATGTTAGGTGCCAGTGCCCCCATTTTTCCCTCGCTCCCTTCTTTTCTGTCTTTCTTTTACCCTTCCCTCTCATTCCTCTCTTCCTTCCCTTTTTCTTTCTTCTTAACTCTATTTCTACTCTATTTGTCTTTCTTTGCCCCTCTTCATGCTCTCTCTGTCTCTTTATCTGTCTGTGCTGTGGAAGGCCTCAGTGTTCTTTGAGTTTTTCTCAGTGCTATGGTCATTAAACAGGATTAGTGAAGTGGAATGCCTCAGTGTGCCACACAATAACCTTAACTGTTCTGAACTGCAGATGGTACCCTGTGAACATACAGGAAGCCATCTACTGTTTCCTTCCACCTTTCCCCTCTAAATGTCATTTTGGATCTTTGTAAGGCTCAGAGTGCTTGATCCTGTTTGTCTTGGTCCTTATGTATGTGTAGGTGTTTTATCATGGAGGACAGAGGCTATCTGGTGGCCCATCCGACCCTGATTGACCCGAAGGGCCATGCTCCAGCAGAACAGCAACATATTACTCATAAGGTAAGGAACTGTGGCTCTGAGGTCTTTCACAAGAAAATAGGCATTTTTATGTTTTTGTCCTTAGAAAAAGGGGACTTTTTACTCTTCAGCCATATCATATTCAAAGTTTGGTAATGAAACTGAAAAACAATCTTATGGAGTTCATCATTTTCTCCTGATTTGCTTGACTTTAGGAGCCTCTAGTGGCCAATGACATTCTTAACCACCCCAACTTTGTGAAGAAGAACCTGTGTAACAGTTTCAGTGATCGTACCGTGCAGCGTTTCTACAAGTTCAACACCAGCATTGTCGTGAGTGGAGTCTCATATGAATTATTTCATATCAGGCTACTGTAAATTTTGTTTGAAGTGACAATCCTGCCGTTTTTTTACCATGTAAGTTTAGTCAGCCTAATGTATGAGTTATGTTAGCACACCACCTAGTGGAGGTTGTTTTAGTAGCGGCTATAACAGGTGCTTTCGAGTATAACCAGCTGGGCAATTATAAATTGTTGTTTTTAATGAGAAATTGTATGCACAAAGTGAAGAATTCAAATGATTGTTTATGGCTTACTGTGTGTTTGTCATTTTTAAGGGTGATCTGACAAACCTTGTGCATGGCAGTCACTGCTCAAAGTACCGGCTCACTCGTATCCCAGGAACCAATGCGTTTGCTGGTATTGTGAATGAGACCTGTGATTCACTGGCCTTCTGTGCTTGCAGTACTGTGGATCGTCTCTGTCTTAACTGCCACAGGTAATGTTTACAGTCTGCACAACTCTACTACTAACATGTTATCTTTAGTGCTCTATTTATTTAAGTATTCTTTAGGATATTTTGATGAACAGGAAGTTTAAAAGTCATTTTTCATGAATTTAGTGCATCCTTGCTGAATAAAAATATAAATTACTTTAAAAACAATCTTACTGACCCCAAACTTTTCGATGGCATTTATTTGTTTTATGTATTTTATTGTATTTATTATTAACTTTTGTGGAATTTAACCCATAAGGTAATAGCCAATTATCTGCCTGTCACTTCATCAAGTTCTTGTTTGTCACGATGAATAGATATCCAGCCACCTGTGTCCTCAATTAGCCGTCAGTTCAGGATTGTTCCTCAATAGACATTTAGACACTTTCAGGTTTGTCACATTATTCCCAGCTGAGAGATCTCAAGGCATTTACCTTTCTGTCACTGTGCCATCTGTTCATTTTAGTGAAAAATTTTACACTTGAATGCTAATAAATGTATCCTTTACTACAGAGACGTGTAGTAAAAAAAAAGGCTGGGTATTATTCACTGTGTAGCAATAATAACTGTTGATTATTTGTTGTCTGTTGAATGCCACTGATCTACAGAACAACATTGTTGGCAGACTATTACAAATAATTACAAATAGCTTTGAATTTAATGAGTTACATGTTGTATTTAGGGCCTAACTGACTCAGCTTGCCTTACTACTGTGTGTGTGTGTGTGCATAGAAATCCGAGCTGTGACGTGCACCAAGAGCCTTTGTCTTTGACTGTTATTGAGCCCAGTCTACAGGACACTCTGCCTCAGTGTATCAACACCAGATGCAACCAGCGCTTCACCAGCAGGTACGGCCATATACTGTATCATTTGTGATCAGCCTGCTCTTAGCAGGACCTTAACAGAAACACAGAGTCTCTGAGAGTAATATTGTTTCTCCTTTCACTTAACACAGCTAATCTCACATCACTTATTCACAACTTGTGCTGACCACAACAACAAGCATGCGTGTTTCTCAAGATCATACAATGTCAGCTATTATTAGGGACTGTCGAAATCAAAGACTCACAAATAGCTCATGAGTTTCTCACACTGTCGTTCAACATAGACTCAAAGAACCAAGTCTGTGTTGGTAACACTTTACAATGGGGTTCCATTTGTTAACATCAGTTAACAATATGAACTAGAATGAAAAATACTTCTAAAGCATTTATTAGTCTTTGTTAATGGTGTTTTCAACATTATTAAAATCCAAAGTACAATCTGTTAATATTATTTAATGGACCTGAACTGATAAGAACTTGAATCATTTACGTTAACAAAGATGAATAATACTATAACAAATGTATTGTTCATTGTTAGTTTATGTTAGTTTATTCATTAACTAATGTTAGCTGATGGAACCTTGGTGTTAAATATACATATTCAAAAAAAAAATTTTTTAGAAACAAGTATAGTTGAACATATTGTAGGTGGTTGGGGGTACTTTGGTGAAACAAAAGATTTTTCATTGTTACAAAAGATTTCTATTTCAAATAAATGCTGTTCTTTAGTACTTTCTGTTCCTCAAATAATCCTAAAAATGTGTAATGTTTTCCACAAAAATATTAAGCAGCACAACTGATTTCAACATTGATAATAATAAGAAATGTTTCTTGAGAACTAAATCAGCATATTAGAATGATTTCTGAAGGATCATGTGAAGCTGAAGACTTGAGTAATGGCTGCTGAAAATTCAGCTTTGTCATCACAGGGGAAAAATGCATTTTAAAATATATTAAAATAGAAACGTTATTTTTAATTGTAATATTTTACAGTTTTACTGTATTTTTGATCAAATAAATACTGCCTTGGTAAACGAAAGAGATATCTTTCAAAAACAAAAAAAATCCTACTGACCCCAAACTTTTGCATGGTAGTGTATGTGGTATGTGTAGCCATCTCTATAACATTGCTTTTTGTATGTTCTGTTTTATTTGTGTGGGTTGTAGTGACTGTTTTGGTGTTCTGGACTGTGAGTGGTGTATGGTTGACAGTGACGGAAAGACCCATCTGGATAAGCCTTACTGTGCCCTACAGAAGGAATGTTTTGGAGGAATAGTGGGTGCCAAGAGTCCTTATGTGGATGGACTGGGCATTTTAGGTGAGCTGCTACTTCTGTAGTCACACTATTATTGCAGTTTATTATGTGTTTTGTTTATAATAGCATATGTAGGTAAATTGCATTGATGGGTCACAATAGTCCACTAGAAAATTACTTCTTTCTATTGTTTAGTTTTGCTGTTTTGGAAAGATATGCACAGAAGTTTGGAATTACACTGACTTCATGAGTCACACATTGTGCCTTGAGGATCTTTGCTAGTGTGTAGCAAGTCTTTGCTAGTGTGTTCGTTTTTTAATTATTTCATTTCAATATATCATTATTTTTGTATTTCTTCATCTCTTTGCAGATGAGGAGTTGGCGTCACTGAATATGATCAAGAGTGCACCTGTGGGGCCAGTGGCAGGTGGGATTATGGGATGCATCATGGTGCTGGTGTTAGCTGTGTATGCCTACAGGCACCAGATCCACCGTCGCAGTCATCAGCACATGTCCCCGCTGGCTGCACAAGGTGAGTCTGGACACTTTGAGTCTAAAAGTGAAAGTGATTCTTACCTGGGACTGTTGGGAAACAATGCTAGGGTTCTGGAATAAATTTCAGTTTCCATTTAGACTTCCAATGATTACAAAAACACGATAATCAAGATACAAACATTATTGTGCTGCATTCCTTTCCTTTGCTTTAAAGCAGTTTGCTTTCACTTCTCCTTAAAATCCCAAACAGAATGTCCAAATCAGTCAAATCTTGTAATGTGTCTGTCATAATATGCAGTCTACTGCAGGATGACAGTTGTTAAAAGTGCGTTAAGCTGCTAAAGAGAGTTCATGCTGTTCCTCAGGCGACTTTCTGTATGTGCTTTCCAAGAGGAACCAAGCTACACAGACAAGCAAATTATACTTTGGGCTTCGGATACATGGCTAACAGTCAAATACACACAAAAATATGTCAAAAGTGAACACGAACAGAAGTATATTGCAGACTGTACATTTACTGCTTGACTGAATAACTTTAGTAGCTTTAATAAACATTTGTGTATATGTAATTTATACAGACTGTTCTGTGTTTTATTTATTTTATTTTTTATTTTTTATTATCAAGATTTGTGAAATGTCACTGGTGTCTACATTTTGATATCATAGCATCTTTATTTTTCAGCAAAATATACTTAATAATATAGCGCTATTGTGGGAAAAAAAATACTCCGATGTGTGATATCGCCCACTCCTTGTGTTAATTGTGATTACAATATTGTCCAAAATAATCGTGATTATGATTTTTGCCATTATCAAGCAGCTCTATGTTTGACTTTGTTGTGATTTGGTTTTGTTTTAATAGTTTACTACTGAATAAAAAAGAATCAGCATTAAAGATTATTGAATTAAAGTCAAAGCGCATAACCCATGTTACATTTATTATGTGACATATTTCAGAGGGAAACAAGATAATCAAAGATTATAAAATGTAGACCGGGACCTTTTATAATTGAGAATTGATTAGAAAGTGACAAGTGATCTCTGACAAAGAAGCTGGTGACGTCAGCCTGAGAAGGAAAGTTGTTTCAGAGGAAGAGCAAGTAAAACTCACTTTAATGAGGGAAAAATTATTGAGTGCACTTTTAAAGTGTGCTACTCCTTGTGCTAATGAGATACTAAAGCACAGTTGACTGCTAAAAGGACCATAGAAGGATATAAAAGTAATTTAAAGAGCTGAATTCCCTCTTCTTTTGCAGTTGCTCCCTCATGTCTCAGCCAAATTCAGTCTCTATATGTGCATGACTAGGAAGTATAACTTGGTCTGATGCAATATAAATGTGTTTGAATCAGTCTGTGATGCAGTCAGTTTTGCAGTTACATAAACTGTCTGAAAGAGTCCACTTTAGTCTGAATCTGCATTCTAGAAATGAATAGACTGGAATGCTATATTCCCTTGAATTGGCTTTCCTCGGTTTTTAATGTCTGATGGGCATTAGTGGGCAAAAAGTGATTTGAGGAGATTTGATGTCTGTTGTCTTTTTTTATGAGAGAGACTGTGGACCAAAGGAGAAGACAAAGATATATTACATCAAATCTGATCAGGATTGCTCCGTCTGTCTAATCTTCTCTTACGCCTGTCTTTCTTTCTCTGTCTCTTTTACCAGAGATGTCTGTCCGGATGTCCAACCTGGACAACGAACGAGATGACAGAGATGAAGACAGTCACGAAGACAGAGGAATAAGTAAGATACCCGCCTCCCTGCCTGGCACCGCTTCACGTGAATTAACACAGAAAACCTTTAATGCCCATTTTAGCATTAGTAATTACACTGAGGGTTTTTATGTACATCAAATCTACAGTATTGTACTTTGTACCATTAATGCTGTTTTTCACCGATTCAGTGCATCAGACACCAAATGGATGATAATCCGTGAATTCTTTGTGTACAGTGTGCTGTTTTATTCTCCTAGAGTAAAAAGCGAGCATTCATGCTCACAATGGTACTGTGTCATTCTTGTGTGATAATTGCTTCAAACAGCCATGTGGGTTAGTCTGATGTCGTAAGTGTCATCTTTAGTGACAATATTATCATGTGTTCCTGATCGGCATTCTTGTTCCGTTGTACATTTTATAATCAGAAGCATTTTCAATACCATCTGATTTACATCACAAAGTTGTTTTAATTAGATTTTGTGCTATGCATAACTGTAAGAAACATACATTATGAAACATCATGCATAACTGTAAGAAATCTAAATGAATAACAGTCAGTATGTATATAATACTGATTATATATATATATATATATAGTGCTGCTTGAAAGTTTGTGAACCCTTTAGAATTTTCTATATTTCTGCATAAA